TATTGTTATTATCATTATCATCATTATTAGTAGTAGTAGTACTACTAGTACTCTTTTCCTGGTTCTGCTTACTTCATTTTGCATAAACTCATATGTCATCCCATTGTTCTCTGAATTCTTCACATTCATAATTTCTTATGGGACAATAATATTCCATTCCATTCATTTATCATAGTCTATCCAGTCATTTATCCAATGACGGACACTATTTTATTTCCAATTCTTTACTACCATAGAATGCTATCATGGATATTTAAGTGCATATAGGACCTTTCTTTTTTGTCTTTGACCTTCTAAAAACTATGACTAGCAGTGGGGGGGGGGGGTCTCTTGGAAATTCTTTTTTTCCCCATATCTAGAATGTACTCCCACCATACTTTTGGCCTCCTGGAAGTCTTCAAAATTCAGCTCATGTGACCTTTACAGAAAGTAATTTCCAGTTTCACTTGCTGCTAGTTCATTTCTCCCTTTTATAGGAAGTCTTTCCTCTTAATTCTAGTGTTTTCCCTCCAATGATTATTTACAATTTATCCTGTATATAGTCCTTTTTGTACATAGTTTTATTTTTGCATGTTGTCTCTCCCATTAGATCGTGGAGGGACTATCTTTCACCTTTTTATTCCTAGTGTTTAACACAGTACCTGGCACTTAGGTAGGTAATAGATATTTATTGAATTACCAAGAGACTTCATGGTTACCTTATATTAATTTTGTATATATCTTGCAAATACCTATATGTATATATAGTATCTCTCCCAGCTAGACTCTTAAGTTCTTCAAGGGTAAAGACTTTTTTTTTTAACATTTGTTTCTGTATCTCTAGTATCTCACACAATTCCAGGAAGTTAGATGTTTGTTGCCTGTGGATCGATTAATTGACATTTGAGCATGAATCCAATTTGCTTTCCAGAATGGTTGGACCAATTGATCACTTCACCAGTCATGTATTACTACTAGAACTTATTGAGCAGGGGAGTGACATGGTCACACCTAAGCTTTGGGAATATCACTATGGCAGCTGTGTGGAGAACAGATTGGAGAAGGGAAAGTCTTGAGGAAAGGTCAAATAGGACAATACTGCAGCAGCCCAGGCAAGAAGGGATGATGGTTTTAACTAGGACAGGGGCTGTATGAGTGGAGTGAAGATTGGATATGTGAGATATTGTAAAGGTAGAATTGACCTGTCTTAGAAACTGAAAGGATATATGGAGTGAGTACTTTCTCTTTCCTTTCCTTCAGAATAAACCAAACATGATTTCCAATGCTTATGTTCAATCAAAGCCCCGTGAAAAGTTGACAATGATTTCAGAAAAGTTAGACTTAATGAACAGTTGCCGAATGCCAACTATGTTTGACTACATTATACCAATGGCTGGTAGGGGCAGAGGGACATACATGCACTGAGATATGATCTATGGCTTCAAACAGCTTTGTAGGGGATTTTATCGTAGTGAGTGACAGGCTTTATTGAACTGTTTTTGTTTTGTTTTAAAGAGGCAGCAGTAAAATTTTAACAACTTATAAATAACAAATATTAAAAGATCTCTATAAATTGAGCGGTAAAGAAATATTTCAGGGATAAAAGTAAAAGCTATTAATATGAATAAAAAACATTGCCTTCCCCACTTATCCTTGGAGCAATTTCAAGAGTATAGAAGTACCTTCAACATGGTATATTTGTTTAATGTCTGTTGAATTGAATGAAATGTATAATACATTTTAGTAAGCACTTAGCACTTACTCATTGTCTTTTGTTAGTCTGTGACTATTAAAAATGAAAAATAATTACTGAATGATGTTGCCAGATTTTTTATCCTTGTATGGCAGGGTTTCTTAACCTTTTCTGTGTCATGGACCCATTTGGTATTCTAGTGAATCTAGGTAACCCTCTTAGAATTTTTTTTTGGTGAGGCAATAGGAGTTAAATGACTTGCCCAGGGTCACACAGCTAGTAAGTGTCAAATGTCTGAGGCTGGATTTGAACTCAGATCCTCCTGAATCCAAGGCTGGAGCTCTGTCCACTGCACCATCTAGCTGCCCCTTAGAATTTTTTAAAATGCATTTTTAAAAGTATACTAGGTTACAGAGATTATATAAATAACTGAATATACAAAAAAAAGAAATTGAATCAGCTGTAAATCAACTCCCAAAGAAAAAACTACTAGACCACATGGGTTTACAAGTGAATTCTATCATTCAAAGAATAATTATTTCTAATATTACGTAAACTCTTTGCAAAATTAGGAAAATAAGGGTCCCTTCTAAACTTTTTCTATGGTTGATATTTAAACCACAGAGACAAAGCAGAAAAAGAAGCTATAGATCAATATCCCCAATACAAAAACATTAAATAAAATATCAGCAAATATTCTATAACAACATTAAAATTATATCCTATAATCAAATATATCCTATGCCAGGTTGGTTCTATATCAGGAAAACTATAAATGTAATAAACCCCAGCTTTGAGGTAACACCTACCAAAACTGGAGGAAAGCCTGGGAAAAGTTAGGTTCTCACCAAAATCTCTCACTGCGTACCAAGAAAAGATCTATGTGGATGTATGACACAAAGGGTGAACACTATAAAGAAATTATAGGAATAAGGAAAAAAATTGCTTTTCAGATCTATGGATAGGGGAAGAATTCATGACCCATCAATGAACAGAAGGGATCATAGATAACGTAATGGACATTTTGATCACATGAAATTAGAAAGGTTACAAAAACAAAACCAATGCATTTAAAATTAGAAAGGAAAGAGGTAACTTTGAAAAAAATGTTTTCAGCAAGTTTCTCTGATAAAAGCTTTATTTCCAATATATATGAAGAACTCAATAAAATTTATGAGAACAAGGGCTATTCCCCAGTAGAGAAATAACCAAAGAATATTAACAGATGGTTTTCAAAGAAAGAAATCCAAGGATCTGTAAATATATTTTTAAATGCGTCAAATCTATTAAAGAAATCTAAATTAAAACAACCTCACATTCCATTAGATTGTTAAATACTAAAAAAAAAAGAAAGGAAAATGATAGTGACAGTGACAAAGGGACTACAGGAAAAAAAAAAAACAGGCACACTAATGCACTGTTAGTGGAGATATGAATTTGTCCAGTCACTCAGGAAAGTAATTTGTAACTATGTCTCAAAAGTTACTAAACTGTGCCTATGTTTTGACCCAGAAGTACTATTGCTAGGCCTATATCCAAAAGAGATGAAAGAAAGCTGAAAAGAATCTTTTTATAGTAGTTAAAGAAACAGAAAAAAACCTGGAATCCAAAGAGGTATGCATCTATTGGGGAATAACTAAACAAAGTACGATATGTTCATGTAATGGACTATTATTGAGCCATAAAAAAATGATGAAATAGTTTCAGTGAAACCTGTGGATACCTGTATGAATTGATGCAAAGTGAAGTAAATAGAACCAAGAAAAAAATTTCTGCAATAACATCATGAAGAAAAAGCTACTTTAAAAGACTTGAGAAATCTGATAAAATAATTAAGTGATTCTTGAGTTCTAATAATGAAGTATGATACTCACCTCTTGACAAAGAGGTAGTGGACTCAAGATACCAAATAAATATACATTTTGGACACTGCTAATATGGGAATTTGCTTTGATTGACTATGAATATTTCTTTAAAAAAGTTTTCTTTTTCTTTTTTTCCATTTTTTCAATTGGGGGAATGATTTGAAGTGCAAAGAAGAATAGGGATAGGATAACAAAAAAAGTTTATTACATAAAGAAAACAGAGTTATTTGATGAATCTTTCTTAAAATATAAAGAACATAGCAGGAGGAAGCTCAGAAAGAAGCTTAGACAAGAACAGTTTTGAAAACTACAGGTTGAACTTAGATAAGAAGAAAAACAATCTGTATATAATAAAGGTTTACAGTTTTCATGTACAATCTTTTTTTCTCTGTTCTATTATGAATGGAAAATTCCCATTTTATTTGGTGTTTGTTAAGTTCAGAATACAAACAAAATTACCAAAATAAAAGAAAATCTGTATCACATCCTCTTGGATGTGATCGACAGCCTTGTGCTTCCCATTGCTTACGCTGAGGGAGATTGACTCTTCAATGACTGAGAGGGTGCTGAAAATGACCATGTGTAGCTGCATGAGGCATTTAGTTCAGTTGGATAGGGATACACATGATGAGATGGTGAGAGGAGAGGAGCAGACAGACTGGACTGGATCCCTCCACACCATGGACAGGTACGGGAGGCAACTCCATTAAGTTCCTTGACTTCCAAGGACTTGCAACCGTACAGACTGCTGAGAGAATACCTATTCTGAGCAAGATTGTTCTCTCTATTCTAGTTGAACTGATATTTTTCTTGCCCCCATGCTCATTTACTTTTGTGTATTCTTTTGTGTATATCCCAAACTGAAAAACTTTTCAGATCTCTATTTTGCTGTTTTGCTTGGATAATGAGGTTTATTCTTTTTAAAAAAATATTAATAATGACAGGCCAAGATATAATTTTCAATTCTCTAGAATACTTTGTGTCATATAGATTCAGAATTGCAGAGTTAATTTTCCTTATCCTTGATCTCCACTACAACTAAAGACATTTTACTTTCTACAAGGCTGACATTAACCACATAATTGTCCACATTTATCAGTGATGGTCATGATTCTGGAGGTGAGGGGAACTGGCTAAGAAAAACATTGGGTGATTGCAATACTTGATTAGTCTGTTAATCAGGTCAAGATTGATTGGTGAGTCTGTTCATCTCTATAAAAGGAAAAACAATGAAAAATCATCACCCATAGATGGAATATAAGCAAAATATAATGCAGCTTGTTAGGTGCACATAATAATAGGTTCACAAACCTATTGTTTGCGAGCATAACACTCCAACATTGATAAGATGCTTCCTTTTTTGTGAGTTAGGGTTTAAATTCAATTATCATCACAAATAGTATTGAGAAAATGGAGCATGTCTAAGTCATTGTGTAAATTTACAGACATGATTTTTATTTTAGATATTTGGATATTTTCTATCAGAAGAAGATGCACTTGCTTCTCAGCTTGATGAAGAAAATTTGGTTTTTCTTGTTTCCAGAAAACAAAGAATTGGACTTACAGGTATTACTTTTAACATTCCTAGAAATAAATATGGGTTTTAATGTCTATATCCAAAATGAATGTTTTACACATTTTTTTCTATAGATTAATTTAATTAATTAAATTTAATTGTTTTAAATATTGGAAGAAAGGGGATATGCTTGTGTATAGAATCAACTTCAATTGCTGAACAGATAGGCTTAATGTAACTACTTCACAAAGAACACTTGCAGGAGAATCATAGAATCACATAATTAAGAGACCTCAGCAGCCATGAAGTCCAACCTACCCTGCCAGAAACTTTAGTACTCCCCATGAGAACCTAATAAATGATCATCTAGCCTTCATTTGAAGACCTCCCTCCAAACTCACAACTTCATGAGAAAGTCACTTAACCCCTGTTTGCCTCATTTTCCCATCTGTAAAATGGTGATAACAATACTACCTACCCCCCAAGGTTGTTTGAGGATCAAATGGGTAATAATTGCAAAATGCTTAGCACAGTGCCTGGCACATAGTAAACAATATATACATGTTAACTACTATGATAATTATGATGAAGATGATGTTCCACTTTTAGAGAATTCTGTCAAATTCCATCTCTTTATTTTGAACTAAAATCTGCTTCCCTATAATTTTTACCTATTGGTCCTCATTCTGCCCAGTGAAGGAGAGAAGGCCATGATATTCAGGTTTTCCTAAAGAAGAACGTGAGAGCTTTAATAACAATCACAAATTAAGACATTAATATCTTACTAACTTGGACTCCAGTAGTGAATCAAGCAGTGCTTTTTTATAAAATATTTTGTAATTAAACTTTTAAAATTCTTTAATTCAGGTTGACAATGCAGCCACAATTAGTCTGACTTGGTGAGGTTTCTGAATGGATCTAATCTTGAAGGACATTCTAGCTCATAGGAACATAGAATTAGATTACCTAATCCCAAACCCTCATTATACAGTAAGAAAATTGAGGCTCAGAAAGGCTTATTGACATGTGCAGTGTGACACATCCACGTTTTGACAGAGCTAGCCCCAGAACCCCTCACTCATTCCAGTGCTTCTCTTCTATACTATATTGGTCCTCTAGGAACATTGTACCAGGGCATTCACTCTGTATTCATGGGTAAGAATGATGTTACATGTTGTTCAGTCATTTTAGTCATGTCTGATTCTTCCTGGCCCCATTTGAGGTTTTCTTGGCAAATATACTGGAGTGGTTTGCCATTTCCTTCTCCAGCTCATTTTTCAGGTGAGGAAACTAAGGCAAAGAGGGTTAAGTGACTTCCCCAGGGTCATACAGCTAGTAAGTGTCTGAAGCCAGATTTGAACTAAGGAAAATGAGTCTTCCTGACTTCAGGCCTGGCACTCTATCCACTATGCCACCTAGCTGCCCCATGATGTCACATATTACTAACTCAAAAGAGGTCAGTCACTAGCATTTATTATGCTCCTACTATGTCCAGGAACTGTGCTTCATGCATACCTGAGCTTCTATCACCTGCGCACATTTAGGTGTAGGAAAGACTAAATGTGGAACAGACAAGATCATACTTGGAGACCCAGGCGCCAACAGGAGAATGCAAGTTCCTTAAGGGCAGGGACTGTTTTACATCTTTTCTTTGAATTGCTAGCACCTAGCACAGTGCCTTGCAAATAGTAGGTGATTAATAATCTTCTGTTGCATTGGGTTGCATAATACATGTATGCAGAGAGCCTTCTAAGACATGTCAAGTCTCAAGAATACTATCCACTTCTGGCGATTTAAGTGGGAATAAATGATACTGCCAAAAAAAATCTAGAAAGATTCTCTAGATATTATCAAGATGGTAGGAGGAAATGAAGAGTTTGTAAATACTGGTGACCTTAATGTCTTGGTTACCAAATGAAAGGAGTTTCAAAGAGAAAGTAAAATATGGAAAACGAGTAGTTGTGTCAGAGAGATTTAACTCTGCAGACTATGGCTTGAGATCCAAGAAAGACCCTTGATCACCATGGATAGAGTACATCTAAGGAGGTTTGGAAATTACTTGCCTAAAGACTAGCTGATATGATTGAGAGGATTTTAAACTGAAAAATGGAGGAAGAAAATGTTCAAATATAATGAAGCAGATTCTATAAAGAGCAACAATTATGACCCAAGAAGAGCTGTTTAGTAATTTACAAAAGGAAAAAAAAAAACAGGAATATGGGCTAAAATGATTCTTATTGTTCTAAGTTGTATCTATATGCAAATAAACAGAGTAGAGGTGACAAAGTGAGCTAGAGATTTTAACATGGGGATACCTCATAAGTATCATTGAGACGTAGTAGAATGTGACCAGTGACTGGAATATCATAATAAAAGGGCATACAGCATTCAAATGGAACAAGTTATATAGGGAGGGAGGCAGTTTAACACTGTACAGAAGAAGTGATAAACTTCTGGGGAAAAGCACAAATCCTTGTTGGGAGTATGGAATGATGGAAATCATTTGGATGAAGATCAAAGAAGGAAGAAAAAGAGGTGGGAGTAAATTACTACCAGGCCAGCAGGAGAAAATGGATTTGAGTTTTTGATTCAAACCCCAAAGTTGGTATTATAGCAGAGCATAGTTTTGATTGGAGACTTCAAGTGAGCAGACATCTGCTGGAGATTTTTTACTGATAAAAGCAGAACAATTAATAAATACTTGCTGATGTTTTCATTATTAACAACACAGAAGAAGTGACAAGGTAAGCTTCTGTTCTGGACTTGATCCTTACCAATAAAATGTAGAGCTGTTTGTTAAGGTAGTCAGTCATTCAGCATTTATTGAGCACCTTCTGCAGGCCAGGCACTGCACTAAGCACTAGAGAGACAAGGAAAGGCAAAACAAATAAACAAAAAACACCAAAACCACCAAAACCCAAAACAATATTGTCTCTGCTCTTGAGGAGGTCACAGTCTAACAGGGGAGACAATATGCAAACAAATATATAAAAACAAGCAGAACCTGAAGCTCAGGGAGTGGTAACCATGCCATCTTAGAGTTTGGAATAAAGAGGTAAGCACTGGCTATGGTATGATACATAATCTAGACTTTAGGAGAACATGTTTCAAAGAGTTCAGGAATAGGACAGATAGGGACTATATCTTGAGAATGAAATTCATCATAGTTGATTCTAGCAAGAGGTAAGGAGCTATCTAGAGGAACTCATGTGGTTGTACTGGGTATTCATGAATGAATTCAGATTTTTTTTAATGGGCATAGATAGGAGATAGAATCAAAGGCAAATAACCAAGGATAAAAAAAGAGTGGTAAGATGCCAAAAAAAATCAGAAGGGTTAGTTCCTAACATGAACTAAAGGTTAGCCATAAATATTATGGACAACAAAAAGTACTTTATTAGGGACAAAATGATGCAAAGAAGATATAGAAACCCTGCTTGAAAATAGCATAACAAATGTTTTCTTCTCCTAAAAAAATGAACTCCAAACTGTTAAGAATATAGCAAAAATGGTTAGAAAAGAAATGAAAAACAAAAATTAGTAAGATGGTAGGAGAGTATGTTGTTGGCCAAAATTCAATATAACAGATAAGTTCAAGTTACATGTACCAGACAAATTAGGTTTAAGAGAATTGCAGGAACTTCCTGTGAAGATTATAGAACTGTCTGAAAGTGATCTCTGTGGAATCATGCAGAGAGGTGCCACAAGACACAAGCAAGCAAATGTTCTCTTGATTTTCAAAAGCAGAAAAATATGGTTGATTCCAGGTACACCACTGAGCTTGATGTCAATTCTTGGTAAAATTCTGGAAGAGATTTGTTTGTAACACTTAAAATGTAAATCATAACTATTCTAGCACAGACTAGTAATAAACAAGTCATCCAAAATAATATTTTGCTTTAGATGGTGCAGTGGATAGAGTGCCAGGCTTGAAGTCAGGAAGACTCATCTTCATGAGTTCAAATCTGACTTCAGACCCTTATTAGCTGTATGACTCTGGGCAAGTCACTTAACCCTGTTTGCTTAAATTTCCTCATCTGTAAAATGAGCTGGAAAAGGAAATGTCAAGCCACTCCAGTATCTTTGCTGAGAAAACCGTAATTGGGGTCACAAAGAGTCAGACATGACTGAAAAATGACTAAACACTGACTAAAGAATAGTAGAACAGGAGAATGTCTTGGTCCTAATATTTTTGGTTATAGAAAGATATTTAACAAAATATCTCCTGATAATGCTAACAGACAAGAGCATTCAGCCTCAGTGATGGATAGTATAGTATCTCAAGTAGTTTCAGGACTGGTTGAGCAGACATAAATTATTTTGATTAACAGATCAACTTTAACTTGGATGGCATCCTTTAGTGGATTGCCCCAGGTCTCCATGCTTCATTTTCTTCTAGTTAGCATTTTCATCAGTGATTTGCATGAATGCAGGAGCAGCATGCTTATCAGATTGACTAATGATGTAAGGTTAGAAGGGATAGCTAGTATACTGGATAACAAAATCACTATCCCAAAAAATCTCAATGAGCTGGAACACAGGGCTGAAGCTATCAAGATTAATTTCACGGGGATAAAATGCAAAGTCTAACATTTAGGTTAAAAAAACTCACTGAGGAATTGCATCAGACTCATGACTGAGAAGTAGTTCTTGGAAAACATATTAATTTGTAATTTTATGAACTGAAATCTTAATATGAGTTAGAAATATGATATGACAGCCAAAATATTTCTTTGGGGCAGGTAGGTGGTGCAGTGGATAGAGCACAGGCCTCTGAGTCAGGAGGACCTGAATTCAAATATGGCCTCAGACATTTACCAACTGTGTGACCTTGGGAAAGTCATTTAACCCCAATTGCATCCCCTCACCACCCCCAAATATTCTTTCTTATACGAGATGGCTTTCTGAGAGGGAAAAGAGGAGAGGAATACAGGGGGAAATTTAGGCAATGTAAAAACAAAACATATAAATAAAAATGTATTTAAAGTTAAACAAAAAACCATAATCCATGCTTGATGATAATAGTATTTATATAGTACTTTAAGGTCTACAAAGTTCTTTACAAATATTATCTCCATTTATCCTCATGACAATCCTGGCAGGTCAGTGCTATTATTGTCCCCATTTTACAGGTGAAGGAATGGAGGCAGAGGTTAAGTGACTTATCCAAATTCACACAGCTAGTAAGTATGTGAGACAGGATTTGAAATATATTGATATTTCCTCATCTGTAAAATGAGATTTGAATTCAGGTCTTCCTGACTCCAAGTATAGTACCCTATCCATCCAGCAGCCTCATACCAGCTAAAGGAACTAAAGATTTGTGCCTAAGAAAAGCTGCTGTGCTTGGAGTCGATAGAAACCTGGTTTTGATCCCAACTTCTGATGTCTATTAACTGTAAAAATATAAGAAAACCTTTTTTGAGAATTCCAGTCCTATCTAAGCTCTTTGAAGACAGGGGCATTTTCCCTTTAATGTCTTTGGATCCCCAGCACGTAGAACTTGTACACAGTAATGTCTAATAAAATCTTGTTGAATTGCTTTGAATGGTATGAACATGAGTAAATAATTTAACCTCTTGGGGCCACTATAAAACAAGGATTAGAATACCTGTAGACAGCTAGGTGGTACAGTGGATAGAGCACCTAGGTCTAGAGATAGGAGAATCTGAGTTCAAATCCAGTCTCAAACACTTACTATCTGTGTAATCTTTGACAAGTCACTTAATCTTGTTTGCCTCAATTTTCCCTTCTGTAAAATGAGCTGGAAAAGGAAATGGTAAGTCACTCTAGTATCTTCGCCAAGAAAACCCTCAAATGGGGTCACTGAGTCAGACACGACTGAAATAACTGAACAACAACTACCTCCCTCAGTGTTGAGAATAAAATTATATAACACATGAAAATTTTAAAATACTATGTAAGTAGCAGCTACTAATAAAATTTTTGAAGAGCTTAGAAAAATCCCTAACTATTACTGAGCCCCACTCCCATCTTTCTATTTAATTCTGGTCCCAGTTCACTGCCCATCTGCATCTCTCTATGACTTCTATATGGAGAGAACAGTTCTTCCTGGTACTACTGCCTATTGAAGTCTAGACCAGAGAGGTCAAACGTGCAGCCCACAGGCAGCAAATTACTCACAAAACCTCCTGAGTGTGGCCCAAACCAGATTAAAACTGTAATTGGAAAATATTTAACAAAACGAATAAAAATACAATAAAACATAGACAATAATGTGATTTTTTAATTCAACATGTGGTTTGCAGAGATTCTTATGGCTTAGTGGCCACCATTTCTATTTGAGTTTTAAACCACTGGTCTAAACACAAGGTATTGTTTAATCACTTGGTTTTTTCTTATGTGGTTAGTCGGACCAAACTCTCTTGTAATGCTGGGGCTTGAAGCAATCAGCACCATGTCATTTGCAAACAGAAAGACATCACTATCTATAGGGAATCCCGCTCTAGTTTTGACTCTATTTGGGAAATAACCTAACAATGATAGACATTTAAATAGTGCTTTAAGTTTTGCAATGTACTTTGCATATATTATCTCATTTGAGTCTCATAGTAACCTGTATAAGGTTGGGACTGTTACAGGACAGGGAAGCTTAAAGAAAATAAGTGACTTGCCCAAGGTCACACAGTTATTAAGTATCAGAGAGAAAAGTGAAACCCAGCTTTCTACTCAGAGCTTAACATTTTATCCACTATAGCGTTGTGAGAGTGGCAGATGTTTTTGATGATCAGACATCTCTCTGTTTTATGCTTTGCTTGATATTAATAATCAGTGTTGTCAAACAAAGTTAATTCCATTATTATATATGCAAGGAATCTTACAGCTTTTTAATATATGTGAAGGATGCTTTATTGGACAACAGCCTCTAAAGGCAGTATTTTGCTCTCACCAATTTCCCTAAAACAAAGACCCAACGAAGGTCGGGAAGACTCCCCAACCAAGAGAGTGAAGGGAATTGTGATGTTAATTAGCACATTTTCATCATTCAAGTTGCCTAATAAATCAGATTTGGCTAATGACAATTATTTTCCCTTTAGCAGACACTTCAAACATTCCTAGTAATGATTCCATTATCCACATCAGGGATGTCCTGGATTGATGTGACATTGCTGTGGATCAAGTATTGAAATATTGAATTATTGGCTAGAATTACAGAAGGGTTCCACAAATTTGAGGGTATTGTTATTTTCATCTCTTTATTCTTGGAGCAAGCATCTTGCCTTTAGGAAAGGGTATGATAGCCCACTATGCAAACCATGAATTTCGTAGGAGCAAAGGATGACCTGGCAGTAGTTTTAAGAATTACCTTGACATATTCAAGGTTCATCATCTGTTCTGTCTGATCCTTCTAAATGTACAGAGATACAGGAACCATAACCACCTTGGTCAATTATCTTGTGTGCTATTTCTACCATATAAATGTAAGTGAAGAGTTTTGACTATACATATTTTGTATGTTTTCAAAATTATTTGAAACAAACTACAATAAAATGAAATTTCAGAGAATTAAGGTAGTTTTGTTCTTTAATACTGGAGAGCCTCAAATGACGTTAACTCTATATCCAGTAAGCTGCTATGACTTAGAGAAAGCTGGGATTCCTAAGCAGAAATAATCTCAGTGGAGAGATAATGCTTTACAAAAACAAACAAACAAACAAAAAAAAAACCCACTCCATAGACTGTAACAGAAAATACGATCCCTTTTTGGGAGCAGGGTTCTCTATTTGGGGGTCCTATGTAGCATGTCATTCCCCAGCTCTGTGTCATCAGATTGATATCCTATGGACAAATCGGGGCTTAGCAGCAGCTACTATTGTTTGATTGACTTTTTTTCTGGCTTAATTGTGCCCTGAGACTTTTTCAGAGTAGGTTTTTGTTTGTTTTTAAACCTAACAAATGGATTTTGGAGTCTCTTCAGCTGGGAAATCAATTGAATTATTATGCCATTGACAGGTGGCTGGAAACGTGATGTGGTTAAGTGTCTTGTCAAGATTCCTCAACTGGATTTCCTGATAATAGCAACTCAGAAAGGATCAATAACAGTCCTCAACAGTCAGGTAATTTAAACAGTTGTCTTTTTATCACTTTTTTTTAGTAATGCATCAAGCACAGTCAGGATTGCAAACCACAGTTTGAAATTATCACCCCAGGTAAAAATACAGCCAAATCCCTGAGGAGAATGCAAACTTCGTGATACATTTTTTTGTGATACTGAAACCACCAAACCTGGCACTGTCCCAGAATCCTCTGTTGCACAGTGTGGTACTGATACAATCATAGGATAAACCTGGATTAGTGCTTAGTTGAAAAAATTTAAAAACATTCATAAAGAAAATGGTTTTGAGAGTACCCTGAGAAATAGGTAATTTGGTAGCTTAGGGTGACTTCAAGCTTCTTTTAACTTCCTAACCTTAAAAGCTTTCATCTCCAACTGAAAGTATCCCTGGGAGATTTTAATAGGAAGCATGCTGATAATTTCTATATAATATCACTATGAACCTGCAAAGATAACAATCTAGTATTAATATGACTAAGGCATTCCAGTTTTCCAGTTCACTGGCAGCTGTAGAAAGGGCTTTGTGTGTGAAAGATCTGAAAACTGAAATGAGTTGGTACCTTTCGTTTCTTTCCATAACAAGGCCTTTTCCATCATATTCCCTATGATTTGTTTTTTCTCTGAGCAATAGGTTGATTTTTCTTCTTTCCCAGAAATCAAAGCTAGTAGAAAATAAAATATAATCTGAAATGAGAGGCTTTTAATTTTAATTTTTAAAAAAAGTTGATGATTTATTAGTGCTCAGAGTGAAATTTAATGTTTTCTAATTAGGGAAAAATGTACGTATGTGATATGTGTTTTTATCCTGTCAGATCCATTTGAACGTATATGTGTGTGTGTGTGTGCATGTGTGTGTATATATATATATATACATATACAGTATTTAGTATTTACAATCAGGTGTCTTATTTGTAATATGTAAATGTAATTGAATCCATCAATTAAATTTACAGGTATGATTATTCAGCATTAAAACAAAAAAAAAGTTATTTAAAATCCTGAATGCCTTAAAGAAAGAAAAAAAGAAACAAGTATTCATTAAACATCTACTATGTGTCAGGTACTGGGCTAAATGCTTTACATTTGGTCTTCACAACAAACGTGGGAGATGGGTGCTATTATCATTACCCTCATTTTCCAGTTGAGAAAACTACAGCAGATAGAAATTAGGTGACTTGCTCAGGATCACACAGCTAGTAATTGTCTGAGACTGAATTTGAACTCAGATCTTCCTGACTCTAGGTCTAGCACTTTATCAACTGTGCCAAATACCTTTATGTGGTGATATATTGGGTGGGAGGGTTTTTTTTTTCAAGACTTGGTCAGAATAATCTATCAAAAGACAAAATGAGTGATCACATTGGAATATTTTACAATAGTTTGATGCATAATTCATGTTCTTTATGGAAGAGTAAATTGTTATGTGAATTTTCTAAAGACTAAAGAATATAAAATGAAAATGCTAAAATATAACTTGCATCAGAGGTTAACTTTTTTTTAATGATAGCTAGTCCTAATGATTACAAAACTTCTATAATAATTAAAAGGTCTTCAGCATGTAACTTGCACTAAAAATAAGTGGGTTGAGGGGAGCAGAGACACAGAACTGAAAATCAAGTATGTGGTGCTCCTTCTCTTTTCTCTATTTTCCTTTCAAAACTTTAATTTTCCTATCTCTGAAAAGAAATACAGGTTTAGTCATTTACTAGTTTTGCTACCTTGGGCAAGTCACTTACCCTCCGCCTCAATTTCCTCAACTGTAAAATGGGAATAATAACAGCACCTCTCAGGAATGTTATGAGGATCAAATGAGATAATATTGGCCAAGCACTTAGCACAGTGTCTGGCACATAGTAGGTACTATATAAACTTATTTTCTCCCCTCTCCATCCTCATAACAAGCCCTGTCCATTAATTAGACTATTGGCTCCTTAAGAAGAGGAACTATTTTTTGCCTTCCTGTGAATCTCTAACACTTAGCACAGTGATGGGCTCATAATAGACTTAAAACAATTATTCAATTCTATTTTATTTTCAGTTCCAACTTGTTAATATCATTTCACTCTAAACTTTTCATCACAGGGAGCCAAGTTACATATAATTTAAACAAAAAAAATAAAGTGATGTTGCACTGCTAGGGAAATGAATTACTTGGTTAAAAACAGTGCAAAATCAGTGGGAAAGAATAAGAAAGTAAGAGCAGAGGCGTCATCAACATGCTTCAAGATAAGCCTCTTAAGTGCCTGACTTATCCAAAGAGGACTTGGACTTTGCCATTCTGCTATCTTCTCAAGAGGATGAAGGGATAGGCTAGAGAGAAAAGGGGTCCCCAAAAGGGAAGGAGGATGGCATGAAGCATCAATATGAAAATGGCTCTATTCTACAGTGTGCTCACTCTGTGTTAGCACTCTTCTTCTTAATTGCAATGGCTAATATGCCTCCTTCCTGCTTTGCTTTGCTTTTTTTCTTGCAGATGAGAGCGCAGGCAAACATCAATGTTACAGTACGTATTTCATTTCTTTTTTAATTAGCTGAAGCGGAAGTTGGAAGATAGTTTCTTAGCAATAAATTGAAAGCACATGAACTGGCCTAGAAATACAAAAGCCTTTCTATTTTGCTGTTTTATCTGGGCAGTGTCAAAGCCCAGATTCAAAGTAAGGTCTCCTTGACTACTTATCGTGCATTTCTACTGGACTATTATGAAATGAGGTGACCAGGAAATGGAAAGAGATCTTAAATCTTGAGCAATCTGCCCAAAGGGCCAAGACTACATCTTTTTTTTGGCGGGGGGGGGGGAACATTAAATACAGAGCAAATCTAAGTAAATCAAAGTCCACTGAGAAAGGATGCCAACCACTTAATTAAATACATCTACCATGATTTATAGTAAGCCAGTCATCACAGAAGGTCAGAACTGGGGAAAACCCCAACATATTCCATTCTGAGTTATCCAGAAAAAATAGGTAGGACATATTCAGTAATATATATGGTATCTCAGTTTATAATTGGGGACAGCAGAAGAAGAACTGCTTTAAATGAGTTGAAAATGTATTTGAAAGCCTCTTGGATTTTAAACTTGAAAACAAGGATTGTTGACCTGGTTCTCCCCCTCCATAGTGAAGTAGACAGGGGATGGTGTTATAAAACCATAGACACATGTTTGCTATTACAATTCTTTCATAGCTCCAAATAGGGCAAGGCATACCCTGTTATTAGGTGTTGGAGACATAGCGATGCAAGAAGGTATAGGAGGTGAGAAAAGAAAGTGGAGCCAATATTGGACTTAGCTCCAGAAAGTTTGCATTCAAGGTTTATCAGAAACAGTGTTGGGCTAGGAGTCGGGAGTTCTGGGTTTGAATGTGACCTCTGATGTGTTCACCAGCTATGTGACCACACTGGCATATTTTTAACTTCTCCAAACCTCATTTCCCTAACATTAAAACAGAGATTGTAATTCTGGAAATATTTACTTCAAAACTGTTGCTCTGAAAAAAGTACTTTGTAAATCATAAAATGCTATACATACATATGTTGTTATTTTTCTCCTGACTCTGCCACTAATGAGTTCTATGACATAGAATAAACCAGTCAATCAACTAACATTTTAAGTGCCTATTATGACACTAATATATGCCAGTCCCTGTGCTAAATCACCTAAATTCTCTGGGCCTCAGTTTCCTCATCCAAAAATGACTGGGTTATTTTCTTCATTTCTAAAATGAGGAGTTTTGATGAATTGAGGAATTACTTTGATGTTAATATACGTGATTTTTTTTTAAAGAGCAATCACCAAGGTCAGTTTAATAAGTGTTGGCTGAGTACCTATGATGTATGAGCATATAAAGATAAAAATGAAATAGTCCCTGAAAGGAATTCACATTTTACTGGGGGAAAATAACATGCGTATCTATAAGTATATACAAAAGATATGTAGAGAAAATACAGAAGTGATTTTGAAGTGATAGGTAGGTAATAGGGAGGAGACCAGGAAAGGTCTGCTGCAGGACATGACACTTGAGACTATGAGGTGATGAAGGGGAGCATTCTAAGGACAAAGGCAGGGGATGGGAAGTGTAGTGTTCTGCCCAAATAACATCTAGGAAACCAGTCTGGCTAGAATGTAGAGTGTACAAATGAAAGTGAGATGAGATTCGCTTGAAAAGATAGGTTAGAGCCAAACTGTGAAGGGCTTTAAATAATAATAGCTAGCAATCATACAATGCTTTAAGGTTTGCCAAGTGCTTTTATATATGTTAACTCATTTGATCCTCACAATAACTCCGCGAGGTAGGTGATGTTACAGATTTTACAGATGAGGAAACTGAGGCACAGGGAGGCCAAGGTGGTTTGGCCAGGGTTACACAGCTACTAAGTGTCTGAAGTAAAACTCAAATTGCAATGTTCTTCGAGTCTTGTGCTCTAATCACTATGAGGTTAAAAATAATGTGTTTGTAGAGGCAATAGAAAGCCACTGAATCTTCTTGGGCAAAGGGGTGACAGAAGTTTATGAGTTCAGGTTACAATAAAGAATATAATTTATGCTGAAAGAATGTAGGTGGATTTACTCACCTTAGCACTACAGATTTTGCAGTTATATTATGCCCAGATGTAGAATCAAGTTATTATTCATTTGTAGTAACTGACTGATTTTATGAAATAAACTTTCTGGGGTTTGCAATACTACATCGAATGCATCTGAACAGGAGAAGGAAAAAAAGAGGAAGAAGAGTAGGAAGATTCAATCAATTAATAAACCTTTATTAATGCCTACTATGTGCCAGTCAATGTGCTAAATGCTGGGGATACAAAAAGAGGCAAAAGTCAGTCCCTGCTCCCAAGGAGCTTACAATCAAATGGGGGAGATAACATGCAAACAAATATATACAAAGCAAGCAATATATAGGATAAATAGGAATTACAGAAGGAAGGCAGTAGAATTAAGAAGGCTTGAAAGAGACTTTCTGTAAAAGATGAGATTTAGTTGGGACTAAAGGGAGGTCAGTAGGTAGAGTTGAGAAGGGAGAACATCCAGGCATGGAGACACCCAGAGAAAATGCCCAGAGAGATAGAGTGTCTTGTTCATAAAACAGCCAGAAGATCAGCATCACTGGATCAAAGAGTACATGGCAGGGAGTTAGGTGTAAGAAGGCTGGAGAGGTAGGAGGGAGGGAGGTTATGAAGGGCTCTGAATGACAAACAGCATTTTGTATTTGATCCTAGAGGTAATAGGGAGCCACTGTAGTTTATTAAGTAGAGGTGGGGTTGTGGGTGATATGGTCAGTCCTTTGCTTTAGGAATATCACTGGTGGCTGAATGGAGAAGGGATTGGATTGGCAAGAGAATTGAGACAGGCAGACTCAGCAGCAGGTTATTGAAATAGCCAGATGTACAGTGCTGAGTCTGCACCAGAATGGCGGACATGTCAGAGGAGAGCAGGGGGTATATTTGAGAGATATTGCAAAGGTGAAATCAACAGGCTTTGACAACAGATTGGATATGAGGGGTAAAAGATAGTGAAGTCCAAGAGCCTGGGAGGATGGTGTTGCTCTCTACAGTAACAGGGAAGTTAGGAGGAGTTGGAAAGGAGGGAGTGTTTAGGGGGAAAGATAATGACTTATGGTTTGGACTTAATTTAAGATGTTTATTGGATATCCAATTTGAGATGTCTGAAAGGTAGTTGGAGATGTGAGATTAGAGATCAGCCCAGAGGCTGGGGCAGGATGGGTAGACTGGAGAAAATTCAGCATAGATATGGAGGAAGAGGAAGAAGAGAAAGAGGAGGAGGAGAAAGAGAAGCAGGAGGAGAAGGAGATGGAAGAAGAAGAGGAAGAGGAAGAGCTGGGATATGATTCTGTTTTGCCATTACATTCCATATTCAATTATCCCTAGGTAGTAGATACAGAGTACATAAATAGTAAAGACAAAGCAATTTTCAGGAAGTGAGGAGAGCTTGGGTGTGAGGGATTGTCTGATGTTGATTACTGCCACGTGAAGGTTGTGGCAAGATGGGGTAGGAACAAGATATCAGGAAGTAACTGGAGCTCACGCTCCCGAGGCAGGGGCTGTGCTAGGCGGAGTTGTGGTGAACTGGGATGGGAACTGGATACGGAGAAGTAACCGGAGCTCATGCTCCCGAGGCAGTGGGCAGTGCTATGTGGAGCTGTGATAAGCTGGGGAAAGAACACGATACAAGGAAGTAGCCGGAGAATGTGCTCCTGAGGCAGGGGGATGTGCCACGTGGGAGTGGGATGGCAGAGAACGAGTTCCCTTTGTCTAGTCCTCTCCCTAGGTGCAACGTTAACCCTAGACGTCTCCTTCCTGACTTCCTGGGTCATGTACTTTCCCTTTGTGTAGCACTGACCCCAGATGCCTCCTCCCAGTATCTGGGCCTGACTTCCTGTGTCACGTACTCTCCCTTTGTCTATGCACTAACCCCAGACGTCTCCTTCCTATATCCGGTCCTAGCCTCCTGTGTCACGTCCTCTCCCTTGGTGCAGCGCTAAACCCAGACATCCCCTTCCGGTATCTGATACTACAATCAATGACTAGTAGGCAGGCTGAGGAGGAGGGGCTAAGTAGGTACTTAAGGAACAGTAGGGATCGGAGCTCGCTCTCTCTCTTGCTCCTGCTCTCTTGCTCTTGCTTTCCTGCTTGGCCTTGCTGTGATGGCCTCTGAATAAAGCTCGAGTGTTTGCACCTCCTGATCGGCTCATCTCTGTGTTTATCCGGATGGGCACCGAAGACTGGTAAGTATGACTCTGGCAGCCTGCTCCTTATAGGAGGAGAGTGCACGCGACCAGCACACTTGGGCAACTGGGGAGATGAGGCAAGGTGTCTTGTAGGAAGTGGCAGCCGAGTAGTGTTTGGAAGGAAGCTACAGCCTCTCTGAGTGATGAGGCAGAGCATTCTGTGCCCGGGGAGGAGCCGGGGCAAAGGCAGGTGAACCGAGCTGGAATGCCCTGCATGGAGAAGAGCAGTTAATAGAGGGTTCTGGTTAAGGCAGTGCCAAAATGGCAGGGAATTTTCTGTGTTTAAATATGAATATTTTGCTAGCTAGAAATTTAGCTGACCTTACAACTAGGCAGCACCTATGTGATCTGAGCAGCAAAAGGAAGATTTCAGTGTATTCATGGCACCCAAGGGCGATTACTGTTTGAAATTGGCTTTAATAGATTAGTAAAGCTGGAAGAGACTTCAGAAATCATCTAGCCTCACCACCTCTCTCTCTCTCTCTCTGGCAGTCAGTCAATAAGCATTTGAGGAGAGGGGAATGGGGGACAGCTGGTGAAAAGTCATGGAGTCAGGAGATGGAGTGTTGTGTATGTAGAGTATGTAGGAGGGAATAAAGTATAAGAAGACTGGAAAGTAGGAAAGGGCCTGGTTGTGATGTGAATGTCAAACAGAGGGTTTTACATTTGATACTGGAGGAAATAGGAAGCCACTGAAATTGGTTGAGTAGGAGGGGTAACATAGTCTGACCTGTGCTTTGGGAAAATCACTTTGAAAGTTGAGTGGAGAATAGATGGGAATAAGGAGAAATCTGAAATGGGAAGATCAAGAAGAAGGTTATTATAATAGTCTAGGTCAGGGGTGGGGAACTTGCAGCCTCGAGGTCACATGTGGCCTCAAGGCTGCAGGTTCCCCACCCTTGGTCTAGGTCATGAGGTAATAGGGCTTGCACCAGGGTAACAGCAATATGAATGGAGAGAAGAAGACATATGGGACAGATGTTGTGAAGGTAGAAACACCAAGACCTGGCAACAAATTGGTTGTGTAGGGTAGGTGTGAGGGAGTAGCAGACTACACTAAAGTTGAGAGCATGGATGACTGAGAGGATGGTAATGCCCTTGACAGTAATGGAAAGTATGGAAAAAGGAAGGGTTTGGGGGGAAGATAATGAATTCTGCTTTGGACATATTAAGTATGAGATGTCTAAAAGTACTTAAGGTCATATAGATCGTTAATGGCAGGACTGAGACCTGAACCGTGATCTTCATATCAATGCATTGCTCTTTCCATTGGACAATGCTCCCTTTTTTTTAGGATTCCCTTTTAAAAATATACATTAAATGCACTTTTGCTGAGATGCCAGTGACCTTTTAGAACTTCATTCTTCCACACAGAAAGGAATGTGATCTAAGAGTGTGGGATTGCTGGCAGAGGGGAGGGAACAGTGGTAGTAAATAGAGGGAAAGGATGGAGAAATGGGAGGTGAATGATGACTGAAGACAAACCCTGACATAATTTTTATTTGCTTTTGGAGCCTAGGTGATTTAGGAAGGGGAAGATTAGGGGATATTTGTTAGAGATCAAAAGGGGAAAGGGACAGAGAAAAGGAAGATAAGGTAGAACAAAGCAGTGGCTCCACAGAGGTTGGAATCAATTCATTGATAAGGAGAAAAAAAATGTGATGTGGGACTAGATTTGCAATGCTGACCTGCCCCCCCTCCCTCCATATTCAAATGGTTGCCAAGTCTTTTTGATTTTATCTCCACTATAGTTCATGTACCCACCCCCTTTCCTCAACTCACAAAGACAACCACCTACTACAGGTTCTCATTGCTACTTACCTAGACTTTTGTAATTGAATTCTTTTTGATCTCCTTCCTTCTCTCTCATTTCTTTGGTTCATCCTGTATATGGCAGCCAAATTTATCTTCCTAAGACACAGACATAGTCCTGTAACTACTCTCCTCAAAAGCCTTCAGTAGCTCCCTATTCCTCTATGATAAAATATAAACTCTCTGCCTGGTGTTTGAGGCCCTACATAATCTAATACTGCAGTTAGGTGGTGCAGTGGATAGAGAGCTGGGCCTAGAATCAGGAAAATCTGAGTTCAAATCCAGCCTCAGACACTTACTACCTGTGTGACCCTGAGCAAGTCATCTAACTCTGTTTGCTTCAGTTTCCTCATCTATAAAATGAGCTGGAGGAGGAAATGGTGAACCACTCTAGTATCTTTGCCAAGAAAACTCCAAATAGGGTCACAAAGAGTCAGACACCATTGAAACTGCTTAACAACAACAACAACAACATAATTAATACTATTCTACCATTCCAATCTTTTTCACATTATTTCCTTTTGTATACTGTGTGCTCCAGCCAACCTAAGTTACTAGTTGTTCCCCAAACTTAACCTTCTATCTCATACTTCTGTGTACTTGCAGGTGTGCTTGCCCATCTCTGAAATGCCACTCCACCTCATTTCTGCCTTTCAGAATCTTTATCCTCCTCCAGTGCTGAACTCAGTCTTTACCTCCTTTGTGAAATGTTCTCTGACTCCTCCAGCCCTAGTACTCCCTTTCTTTTCTCAAATATTCCTAAAGTATATGATTTAATCAAGACAAGGCAGCTAGCTGGCACACTGTGTGGTGGTGCTGGAGTGAGGAAGACCTGAGTTCAAATCCAGACTTAGACACTTACTAGCTGTGTAATCCAGGACAAGTCACTTAATCGCTATTTGCCTCAGTTTCCTAATATGTAAAATTAGGATAATCATAGCACCTACTTCCAGAGTGGTTGTGAGGATTAAATGAGATAATTATAGTAAGTGCCATATAAATATTGTTGCTATTATTATTACTATATAATCCACATAAACAAAAACTCTATAATTTTTAAGACGTGATGTGTAAGATGAGGTTGTTAAGTTGAAAAACCCCTTGCTTCTCTTCTAGGACACTTCTTGGATCACAGGATGTGATTACCTCCCTCAACTAAAACGAATTGTTGCTGTCACAGAAAGAACCATTATCATCTGGGATTATAAAGCACAAGGCAGTAGCCAGGTATGGTCCCAAGAAAGGTTCAAGGGTATAAGCCCATTTTGGTTAGTAATCTTGGTAGCTGTGCACGAACTCTCCACCCATCTATATTTAAGCCATTTTGGAAGAAGAAAGAGAGATGGAGACATCAATCCTTTCTGTCCCTTTCTCTAATGCCTGAATGTTCTTTCTGACTGTGTGTATTTTTTACATTTTATTTTTAAAATTATTTTAAAATTATACAGCATTTTCTTGGATAAGAATGCCATTAAAATCAGTTGCAAAACTTTAGTATCAAATACAGTGGGTAGGGAAGAAACACTTCAACTCCCTCTAGCATTGTAGGGTCATCATTTATTCTGTCATTATTGCCTGTCTACTATGTGCCTAATGGGGTGCTGATGGGTGGGGTACTGGAGGAGCACAAGAAATGGTCCCTTTCTTCAGAGAGCTGAGAGCTTATAATCTAAGTGTCCCTGTCAGAACTAACAATATGAAGAAGAAACCTAAATATGTGTAAAAGAAAAGAACAAGGCAGTGGGTAGTACTGTGTTAATTGTGTAGCACAGATTATCTTGATAATTACAGCAGTGGGCTTGAGTCATGAAGGAAGACTGTGGGAGAGGTAGGGCTTGAACTGATATTCTTGCAGGATGGATAGGATTTAAGTACCATTTAACTCTTAACATTTTTGACCTTGTCACCTTGGACAACTCCACTTAATCTCTTTCATCTGTTTCCTCACCTGTAAAATAAGAGGTTTGGAATTGATGGTCTCTGACATCTCTTCAAACTCTAGATTGAAGATCCAATGAACCATTGGTTGGCCTTCCAGCAGACCTCTCCTATGTGTAGAAAAAATGTGGGAAAACTGCTTCTTCTATCGAGGTCAAGATTCCACAACAGAACTGGGAACCGGTGTTGACATTAACATTTTAAAGGATAAGCTTGCTTCTCCCTGAACATTGTGGACAGGCATATCCTTGTGTCTGCCCAAATAATGGTCGCCTAACAAACCAAGTTTTCCTGGCTTTAACATTCAAATACTTTTCTTGTGAAATTACACAATGAACAAATCATTGATTTTTATTTTCTAGTTTACCCTCCGGCTTGTGTCAATGATGGCGGTGATGCCTGTCTTCCTTTCACATTTCCCCTAGACGTTCCTTTACCTAGTCCAAGAGAATGCTAATTATGACAATGTTTCAGTATACCTAACAATGGTCCTAGTAGCATTCTTGATGATTACAAAAAAAACTGGAACCCATGTGCCCGGTGAATGGAGAAGGGCTCAAAAAAATTACACTAATATCAATGTGATGGAAATTTGCTATAAGGAATAACCAACATGAAGAATTCAGCAAAACAATGGGAAGATTTATACAAAATGATTCAGAGGGAAGTAACAATTACACATAATGACCATAAATATACAAGTAAAAGCCAACAAAGAGAGGCAGTAAAATTCAGATGAAATACAATGAATTGATAAGCATTTATTAGTGGCACAATGGATAGAGCTTTGGGCCTGGAGTCAGGAAGACTTGAGTCCAAACCCACCTCAGATACTTACTTGCTGTGTGACCCTAGGCAAGTCAGTTAATTCTTCTTTGCCTCAGTTTCCTCATCTGTAAAATGAGGATAATAATAGCACCTACTGCCCAAGGTAGTTGTGAGGATCAAATGAGATAATAATTGTAAAGTACAGTGCTAGTGCTGTATAAATGTTAGCTACTGTTATTGTTATTGTTATTATATTATTTTGATATACCAGGCATCGTATTAGGTGCTGGGGCTCTAAAGAAAAAATTTCAGTTATTGCTTTCATGGAGTTTACGTTGTTAGTACTATATGGCTAAAGTTAAAAGACACACACCCATCCCTTTCTGTTTATAGTGATTAATAGGTCCTCATTTACATCCAGAGTGAGGATACACCTTTTAAAGGGAGCTGTTTAAATGTACCTGTTTTTATCAAATCAAAGTTCATCGATCATTTCTTAAAGTAATGTTTCAGACAAATGAGCCTGAGACAGGAGTCTGAGCAATAGAATTTTAAAAGCATTCAGACACTAATGAAGAAAAATGAAGGACAGCACGGAGAGCCTGCTGGGATCAAAATCCTCACTTCCATGTGCTGTGTGCACTAACCTCACAGAGCACTATCTAAGCATGAGGTTGGAAAGTTGAAAGTTTGAGGGAAAGCAGAAAAGACAGTCATCATTTAGTCCAAGAGAAGACTGAATTCTGGTCAAAATAATTAATTTGTTCGATGCCCCAAGGAGCTGTGATTTCATCACTTTGGATACTACTTTTCTTGATTTTGACTGAAACCCCTCAGTAATGCTCTTTGAGACCAGCTGTGCCTGAAGATGGTGACCCTATAGCTAAACTGGTGAGGAGCTTCTTGGAGCTCTGTGAGGCTGGTTTGTGCACAACCATGAAGCCTCTAGTATTGGGCCTGCAAAGGAAACCTTTCCAGAACATTAGGACCTTCCTTAGCTTTCACTCTGTAAGCATAGTGTATCATGGGTTGACTCTGGCCCCACTCACTGAGGGTCAAGTTCATTACATTTTACCACTCGTCCTCCCCCAGTGTTCTCTGGGGCCCTAATGAGTTTGAAAAGTCTCTCATCTCTACTATTGGCTCTCTATGCCCCTATTTATTATGTTCCCTGTTTCAGGGATTCAATGAATAGCACCCCACTTCCATTTAAACATTTAAGATCAGCCTAGCTTTTGCAGAGGGATATTTACATCAAACATATAACAAGAACAGACAAATATTTCCACCAATGCCTGGGAGCACAATCCAACTCCTCCCCTCAGTCTTTGGGGTATATTAGGCTCACAGGTTAACTCAGTTCTTACATAGCTTTAGTCTCACCAAATTCAAATTCAAAGCCTCAGAATCCCAGGACCCTTCCTCCCTAGGTTTTTCCTGCTAGAATGACTTCAACATCCAGACTGGATTCCTGAACTCTTTGATTAGAACTTGTGTACTGAGACTTCACTGTCTATACCTAGAATGGAAAAGGAGAAAGAAAAAAGGCCAAATCCTCCCAAGCCTGTTTCTTGGGGCCACATGACCTAAAAGGAATGGAAAGGGAGCTCCTCAGATCCTCCCCCATCCCTTACCACATGTTGTCAGTGAAGGAATCCTTCGCCCTTAGATGGGATTACAGGAAAAGCACCAACTTTGCTCAGTCAGGCAATGTTAAGGACAGAGGCCTCCCTGGCAGCCAGGGAGGAGAAAGAGTACTCCCAATCATGTGGTAGACCTACTTCAGAATGTTCACATATGCACCAGTTCTCTAGTCTCCTGAAAGCAGGTCCTCCAATGTCTTCTTCCACTGATGGCTGATGCCATCTTGAGTGATTTGGGCATGTACTAAACCGCCATTACATTAGCCTTCAATAACTCACAGTCCTAACCTCACATCCTAATTAGGCATTGGAGAAGGAAGGGATTTGGTGAAGAATAGTCAAAATAATTAAGTAAAAATAATAGTTTACATCTCTATAGCACTTTATAAAACATTGTAGTTCTAATAATGGTATCAATATGGAGTTTGGCTAAAAAAGGAAAACTAGCTATTCTTTTTTGACTTCTACCTTCAGGTGGATGTACTCACTCTTTCCTAACTCTTCCTGTTAGGTCTCCCCAACCATAACTCTTTTCCCTTACACTTGCCATGGTAGAGGTGGGGGAAGGACTGGGTTCTTTAACCTGCATCTCAGCAGAGAAGGAGTTTCCTGAGGCTGCTGCCTCTGAGGGAGAGGAATTTTGTCCTCTACTTACTCAACCTTCCTTTCACCAGAACATCACAGATGTATTCTGTGACAAGACTTTCTTTTTGGTACAGATTCATTTAATCTATTTTCTCTGCCTTTTAAAAGTTACGACATATAGCAATAAATTCTCTTTGGTTTGTCTAGAGTCCCCAGTTGGTAACAAATCTCAGAAATTAGAAAGAGAATTTCCTTCTGTGTGTGTGTGTGTGTGTGTGTGTGTGTGTGTGTTTATTGCCAATCTCAGCCTCCCTCTCAGCTGCATCTGAGCAAATGAAAATACATATAGAGCAGTGACACTTCTAGTTAACCACACCTTTAGGGACTAGGTGGACAACTATACAAATGAGATTTTAAAGAAACAAAACATGCTTTCTCTAAGAGTAATGTAAAAACTGATTCTCAGCAAATGATGACAGCTACAGTTTTTCTATCATGGCTCTGGATAGTCTGGCATCATTGAGCTATAGTCCTTCCCTAGCATGTCAATCCCAGTCAGGGAGCAGCAGGAAAAACACAGTAGAACATTGCCATATTTTCTCTCTCTCTCTCTCTCATCTCTCCCCTGCCATATTCTCTCTCCTTCCCTCCCTCCCTCTCTCTCTCTCTCTCTCTCTCTCTCTCTCTCTCTCTCTCTTGCTCCCTCTCCTCTTTCTCTTCTCTCTCTCAGCTGCAGGCTTAATTCCGTGGGTAAAGGGGATCACATATATATTACTTCATTTGATCATCATGATAACCTTACAGGGTAAATGTATTATTATCCACATTTACAGGTAGTTTTCACCTCAAAAAGGTGAAATGACCTGCTCAAAGTAACCTAGTGAACACATAGAACCAAAAATCAAACCTCAGTAACCTGATTCCATATCTAGTGTTCTTTTCTTCTGTATTGCTGTTATTCTATAATAAATTATTTAGTATATTTGATCTATTATTTTTTATCACCATACCCTGAGGAAGCTTTCTAAATTTTCATAACATGATGAAACCATGATATAGTGTGACAACGTTTTGTCCCACATGTGATATTTGGGGCACGATGGTATTGACAACTATACAGATCAGCCCATGTACTGCCTCCCTTAAGCCTAGAGAAAAGTAGTATTTCACTTCATTTATTATTCAGCAAGGGATTATGATGCCTGATTTTCTCTCCACTCAGGCCCCCAACCAAATGATTGCTTCAGAATTTTTCTATCGTATGTGTAGGATAACTTCCCAAAAGACTGCAGTACAGTGTCTTAACAGAGTCCATTGTTGTTCGCTTGTTTCAGTCATGTCTGACTCTTTGTGATCCCATTTGGGGTTTTCTTGGCAAAGATACTGGCGTGGTTTGCCATTTCCTTCTCCAGTTCATTTTACAAATGAGGAAACCGAGGCCAATAGGATTAAGTGACTTGTCCAGGGTCACACAGCTAGTAAGTGTCTGAGGCTGGATTTGAACTCAGGAAGAAAAGACTTCCAGCACTCTATCTACTGTGCCACCTACCTGCCCCTAATAGAGTGTACTCAGGCTACAAATATCTAAGCTGATCTCCCAATCATACTGACACAGGGTTTTGAGTGGTGGCATTGAATAAACATGAACTACTAATATTTGCAATTTAGCTAGGGGATGATATGAAATATTGCTCAAAATATCAAATATATTTGCACTATGTAACAATTTCTTCTCTCAATCAACAACCCCTCCCCCCATCTCACATATATACACATACACACACACACTCTCTCTCTCTCTCCCTCACACACACACACACACACACACACACACGGCATATATATTCAACATATTGTGGCCACATTTTAATGAATATAGTAAAAATGAAACAAAAGAGATTAAGTGCTTCCAACCATTTCTCCAAAACCTCCTGTTTATTCTCCCAGATTTTCAGATTATTAAGTAGGACAGTTTTGAACCACTGGGACCTGCAAGCCACTGAAAGGATTATAGAAAAGGATTGCTTGTCTGGGAAAAGAAACAATCAACAGTACTCATTAAGCAACTTATGTGTTTGCTGTTCAGTCATTTTTCAGTCACAACTCTTTGTGACCCCATTTGGGACTTTCTTGGCAGAGATACTGCAGTGGTTTGCCATTTCCTTCTTTAGCTCATTTTACAGATGAGGAAACTGAGGCAAACAGGGTTAAGTGACTTGCCCAGGATCACACAGCTAGTAAGTGTCTATGTTACCAGGTTTTTGGAATATCAAATGAGAAAACATAAAGTGTCATACAAATGCTAGCTATTGTTGTTGTTATACATGCCAGGTACTTGTGGCAAAAAACACTGGGGACCCAAGTACAAATAATTAAACTATCCCTACTGGCAAGGGGCTTACATTCTAATGGGGTTGGGAGGGTGGAAAAAATATAAATACAAATTGTTGTTGTTCATTTGTTTCCGTCATGTTCAACACTTCTTGATCCCATTTGGGGTTTTCTTCGCAAAGACACAGGAGTGGTTTGCCATTTCCTTCTCTAGCTCATTTTCCAGATGAGGAAACTGAGGCAAACAGGATTAAATGACTTGCCTGGGGTCACACAGCTAGTAAGTATCTGAGGCTGGATTTGAACTCAGGGCAATGAACCTTCCTGACTCCAGACCTGGTGCTCAATACTGTGTCACCTAGCTGGCAATAAATACAAATATGTACAGCATAAATATAAAATGAATGAATGTAAACAAATAGAAAAGTTGGGCCTGAGTTGCATCTTAAAGGAAGGTATGGGCTTGCTAAGGTGAAGGTAAGGAGGGGGTGGATTCTAGGCATATGGAACAACTAATAAAAGGCACAGAGATGAGAGATGGAATGTCAAGTGTGGGGAACATTGAGAAGCCCAGTTCAGCTGCATCATTAGAGTACAGGAGAGAGAATAATGACAAGTGAGGTTGGAAAGACAGGTTGGGACCAGGTTGTGTTTGACTTTAAAAGATAAACAGAGAAATTTACATGTTATCCTAGAGACAAGAGAAAATCACTGGAGATGGATGAGTACAGGAGTCAAATGGTCAGATCTATGTTAATAAAAATGTCTCTGGCAGGACCATGCAAAATAGATTAGAGTGATGGTAGATGGTGCATGGGAACCAATTAAGAGCCTGTTGGGGAAAGCTAGGTCAGAGCCCTAACAAAGACGGTAGCTGTGCGAATGAAGAGGAGATAGATGTGAGAGACATTGTAGAGTAGAAACAGCAAGACTTGGCAACTGATCAAATGTGTCAGAGTGAGGGAGGCTGATAAGGCTAGGACAATATTGAAATTATGAACCTAGGAGACAGAAAGGATGGTGGTGCCTTGGACAGAAATAGGGAAGTTAGAAAGAAGAAAGGGTTTAGTGAAAAAAATAATCCCCTCATTCCTTGTTTACTGATCATATTCTCAACAACTACTGGTTTTGACCATTCCAATCATAGCTCCTCTCCGGGATCTGAGTCACCTCTTCCATAATGCTCTCCTATTTTCTCCTTCTGCAGGAACCAGTTTCAGGGATGTACTGGTTGTGATCTCAACTCTTCCTACTCTGATTGTAGTCATTGACAGATAAGAATATCAGGCTTGTAGCTTGTAGCTTGTAGCTGTACCACCGCAATTCTAACCCAGACCTTACTTTGAAAAGACCAAGGTCTCCCACTTCATCCAGGGCCATCTCCAGTTGTCCTGATCTATATATCTGGCTACTGGACCCAGATGGCTCTGGAGGAGAAAGTAAAGCTGGTGACTTTGCATAGCTCTCCCTCATTTAAATCCAAGTTACTTGCACGTCACAGCATCATCTCCATGATGTCATGGTCCTCTTCAAAAACAAAGGACAAACAACAACTCCCAAGACAGCTGCTGAGCTCCCATATGGTGAACAGCAAGCCTGGCTCCAGTAGTATTTATGTATAACTCCAATTCCTCACATGGTGAGCAGGAAGTCTATATCTCAATATCAATGGAAGGTAAAACTGAGGCAACTAGTTTTGGGCACCAGTGACCAGATCCTATTCCTCTTATTACAGAGCTGCTTGCCTGTTGCAATCACATATTCCCTGAGTCTCACAAATTCATTTTCTTCTGAAGGAACTTCTGGGGTCCCTGGATCCCCCATAGAGATGAAATTGATATGACAGCACCTACTATAATAGAAAATGATTACTATTATATCTTAAACTTCACTGAATTTAAAACAAAAAGAAATGGACCAAATGGAAATAGAAGAGATTTAGCTCAAACATAAGGAAATGCTTTTTCATAGTGTTCTTGTACATATAAGCTACTCATAAAGACTGTGAAATCTTCTTTTGTTCAAAGTCTAAAATAATTTTTTTTCATTTGCCTTAGTCTGAATTCTTTCTGCAAACATGCATATTACAATAAGACTAATCTTAGAATATAATTCCTGTAATGTTTCTCTCCTGATTAAAGTTCTATAAGGGCTCACTATTACATACCGAATTTTTCATCTATAGTCCTCTGCATAATATGCAAAGCTCTTCGGAATCTGGGCCATGCTATTTAGCTAATGAGAGCATTTAGGTGGTGCAGCAGATAGAGCACTGGACTTGGAATCAAGAAGACTCATCTTCATGAGTTCAAATCCAGCCTCAGACACATATTAGCTGTGTGACCCTGGGCAAGTCATTTAACCCTGTTTGCCTCAGTTTCATCATCTGTAAAATGGGCTGGAGAAGAAAATGGAAAATCACTCTAGTGTCTTTTCCAAGAAAACCCCAAATGGGGTCATGAAGAGTCAGACATGATTGAAAATGATGAACAACATCTGATCAACTCTGTCTCTATCCACTCCCCAGGATGACCCTCTGTTCCATACCATGGACTTTTCCTCACATCTTACCATCATTCTTGCCTTTGTTTCTTTATTCATACTTTTCAACCCTGTTACAGTATGCTCTCTATTCTTCACAGGAGAAAGTCAAAGCCTACCCATCCTTCAAGATCTGCTATACACTCCGTGTCATCCATTCCCCAATGAGTCTACTCTACATTGATCTTACTCTTTTCTGAATTCCTACAGCATGGATCATCTGTATCACAATTTAACATTTAATTGTATACTATTTTGTATGTATAGGCATGATAGATATTATCATCCTCACTTGATTGGTGAGGGAAAAAAATGCTCCGAGGTTAATCAATTTCCCCAAAGATCTCAGAGCTAATCACAGCTCTCAAACCACTTTATATGTGACTATTTTTCTCTTCCCAGAAAGATTGTAACATTTTTTGAAGTCAAGGATAATATCTCACATTTCCAAATCTTTAATAGCACTTAATAGATATGTACTAAATATTGATTGATTGATGTGACTGATCTCTCAACATCCCTTTGCCCTAGGAGTCTATTCATCAGAGTACTTTAGAAAATTAAGCTTTCGGCCACTAATAGGACAAATCTGAGGTGAAGGGGAACAACCATTCAGTAAGAATGAAATCTCTTCTCTATCCTCTAGGATAACTGTTTTGTCATAAAGCCAATGGATCACTGCCTTCTGTGTGTTTGTGTGGTGCCTATGACAGACCACCTGTGCAGAGATGACATCCTAATGGGAGATGATGGTGGCTTTGTGAACAGGTTCACTTTAAACAGTGATGATTTTGGACTCAAGCAGTCAAAAAACAAAAAGAAAATGCAGTCCCAGATCTTGGACTCCAAGAACTTCAAGAAGTAAGTGGCTGAATTAAGGGTTAATTACTTTAATAGTTGTCATCAACATACATATGATGACATTTGGTCTGAGTTTCTCAATGTGATTTCCCAAATGTGCTTCATTGATTTTGGCCAGCATTATTCTCATTTTTAGATTTGACTTGATTTTTTTTTGTCAGCTTGCCACCAAGACTTGAGCAAGAAGCAAAATCTGAGCAAGAAGTAAAATCTGAGCAAGAAGTAAAAAAAAGAATCCTAGTTCTTGGAATAAAAGCATTTAAAATTGGTTTGGATTAAATACTATGGTGGGAAAGACTTTTGTTCTAGCCAGGAATTGACTCATTGGGTTTAGATTGTTTCGTCATCTCTGGTCCTAAAAGAATGTTTTCTTTTGATGGGGGGGATGCCCATAAGGTGTCATTTATTGACTAAAATAGATTTTGTGTGATATGTTCTCTAGCCTCCCTGTGCTTAAGTGGGAGGCTTTCCCCTGCCTCTATGGGCAAGATGTTGCTTCTTTTGCTTTATCATAAACACACAATTAGAGTATATAACCCCCAAAGCCTGCCTGATTCTGCTTGTTACTTGAAAACTGAGTGCAGGAGCACTCACACACAGACACACACACACACACACACACACACACATGTCAGAAAGCCGCAGTGCACACACAATGTGAAGAATCAATTACAAGCCAAGTATGGGGAGAGGGGATTGGAACTGGGATTTCATTAGTACAGAGAATTCCCAGATACAGTAACTCTTACTATATAAGTCTTCATCTTCTTTGCAATTTAGGGTCTAAGAGAGTTGTCTAGGGCACTGAGAGTTTAAGTGTTTCACCCCGGGGCACACAGTATGTGTCAGAGATAAGATTTGAATTCTGGTATTCCTAGCTCCAGGTCAGTTCCCAAATCAGTTCTCTATCCAGTATGCCGTGCTGTTTCAGAAAGGGAACTTGGATGAAATGTAATATAAATGACCATTACTGTTACACGTCATGTCAAGCCTAGTCCTATTACTGATTTCTTAGGAGTGAAAATTCTGACAATATTTGGCTCCATTTCTCACCTACTATGTGAGATGACAGTCACAACTGAACAATATTACTTATCTCACCAAAGTGTTCGTTCAGCAGGCTAAACCGATGGGGAATCAACCTCTCCTCCCCCTCTCTCACCACTATGTGACCTATTGTTCTATAAAATGGCAGGCATGTCACTGTTCAGCTTTCTAACTAGGGCTCAGCCTGCAGCAGATCTTCCTCCATCAGGACTGTGGAATAAGGTGTTAATCTTTCCTTCACTAAGATGTATGCCACCTGTCAGAAAAAGCCAAAGGCCCTTTTTCACATTCATAGTTTTTGTTTCTACTTGATAGGTGCCTCAGAGATACTTGAAGTATTGACTACATGCTCATAAAATAATAAGACGCTAATGTACACTGACATTTGCTCATTCTTGTATATAGCTATCACAAGCCTCTACACAGAGGAAATCAATGCTAAGCACGAGCAATTTTTATGCCGCTGACTGAGGAAAGGTACCCCTATAGCAAGCAGATCACCAAACTCAGCAAGGTGGGGCCCAGGTAGGCTTGTGGGAAGAAAAGAATTCAGAGGTAAAGAGTGCAATTCTAACAGCCATTGGAAAATTCTCCCTTATATGGAAATCTTATTCAACAAATGTATCATTATGTGGTTACAATGTTCAAGGTACAAGAGATACAACAGTGAATTCAGGTCTAAGAAATATTAAATCCTAGTACTGTGCACAGCATTGTACTAAGGAAGGAGGTAATCCAGGGCCCAGAATTACAAAAAGAATGACAATCAGGATAGAAAATACCATCCATTAAGTTGTATGTAATATCAGTGATAATATTGTCTCATGCTCTAAACAAAAGATTTTTTTTATACAAAAGATTTTGAGACAATCTCTGACTTGTATCTGAGCTTTCTAGTCAATATGTATTTGTGATCTACTTGACAGTCTACTGAACTGAAAATATAGGATACATTATTTTCCCAGTTTTATGAGTAAATTTGCACTGTAGCATACTTGGATTTATAGGTTTCTTAGAGCTAGAAGGGCCCTAAGAGGCCATCTAATTTTACAGGTGGGATCTCATCTAGAGAGCTATAGTGATTTTCCCATGATAATGCTGCAAATTAGTTATAGGATGATAGGATTAGATTGGTAGCAATCTAAGTGATCTCAGCAAATAAGTGATCACTCATTTTAAATAGGGGTGAGGTGACAATTGATTCATTCAGTCAACTCCCACGCTTAGGGATTGAATTCATCAAGTGCTTACTATTCTGAGGGTAGCTACATGACACAGTGGATAGAGTACTGAGTCTGGTGTCAAGAAGACTTTTCTTCCTGAGTTCAAATCCAGCCTCAGACACGTATTAGCTGTGTGATTCTGACCCTGTTTGCCTTAGTTTCCTCATCTGTAAAATGAGCTGGAGAAGGAAATGGCAAACCACTCCAATATCTTTGTCAAGAAAACCCCAAATGGGGTTACAAAGAGTCAGACATGACAAAATTGACTGAGCAACTGCCTACTAATCTGTATAAGACTAGGAACCCTGTCTGTGTGTATCCAGAACTGTGAATCCACCAGCATTTGGGAAATTCTAAACTAGAGACTCCCTCCAACAATGCAGATCAGTCATTTGCAAGTAACTTGGTTGTTCATGTTCACTCAATTAATTTAAGAGTCAGAAATAGGACTTTGACCCAGCTCTTTCTGAGTTCACTGCTGGTTGTCTATCCATTATACCATGTTTCCTCTCAGGAATGAGAGATACAGAGATAAATAATGCACAGTTCTACCTCTGAGAGACTTTGCCTTCTATTAGGGTGTGTGGGTGTGGGTGTGGGGTTATATGTAACATAGATAAGTATAATAAGAATCAGAGGACTGTGGAGTTTGAAGAAACCTTAAATCTCATCTAAGTCATCTTCCTCATTTTACAAATGGGGAAATTATAAAGTCCCAGAGATTGAAGCAGCTAGTAGAACTGAGACTGGAGCCCACATCTTCGAACCTTGCTATTTCCTCTTCCCTATACTGCCTCATTTTCATGTAAAAAAAAAGTCTGAAATCAGAGCCACATTATATGAGATAAGAAGCTATATATACATATACATGCATATACATAGTGTGTATCTATACACACATACATATACACATATGTATATGTTTATATACATAGATACACATACACATATGTATGTGTATATATACCCACACTCATATACATATATACACATAAATGTACACATACACATATACATATATACACACATATATGTATATAACTTTCATTTAAATAGTACTTTCCTGCCAGTAACTGACAAAGATAGGATACAAACACCAGGACTCTGAATCCAAATACAATAACTTAGAGTAGGAGTGGGGAACCCTCAGCCTTGAGTCCACATGGCTGCAGGCTCCCCACCCCTGACTTAGAGTATAGCTTGACACTTCGGAAAATTTGTAACTGAGAGAAGATTCTAGTGCTGGACTGGAGTTTATCTGATATTTTCTCTCAGTTCTGATGCTGTAGTTAATGTTCTGACCTCAGTCTCTCTAGAGTTTCCCACCACATCTCCATTGAAATTCCAGGCCATCTTTAACAAGAGCTGTAGATGAACCCCAATTATCCAGCACTAACATTATGATGCAGATTTTTTTCCTCAGTCATCACCAACAACTAAAGGGCCAAGCCCAGAACTCAGTAATCTTGCTAGCAGTCCTCCCTGGCCTTTCTTCCTCTCAATTCTTCTGGCACCTGTTACCCCCATGGCCAAAAGATTCCTGTGCACAATCTATCTGGCATTAACTCCTACCTCTCTGTAGTGAGGCCCAAGGTACAGGTTTCCATTCTGTCTCACTGGAGGAACTCTTTTACACATGCCCATGGCCCTATTTACTTATTCTTAAATTCAAATCATGGATAAAGTAAGTGACTTAACAGGAAAGCCAGTTTTAGGCAATTTTCAAGCAGCTGATGCACAGTGGATAGAGTACTAGGCCTCGAGTCTGAAACATTTGAGTTCAAATTTTGCCTCAGAGACTTGCTAGCTGAGAGACCCTGGATAAGTTGTTTAACCTCTGCCTCAGTTTCCTCAATTGTAAAATGGGGATAATGGCACCTACTTCATAGGGTTTTTGTGAGGATCAAATGAGATGATATTTCTAAAGCATTTAGCATAATGTCTGGCACATAGTCAGTGCTATATAAATGCTTATTCCAGGGGCAGCTAGGTGGCACAGTGGTTAGACCACTGGCCCTGGAGTCAGGAGGACCTGAGTTCAAATCCAGTCTCAGACCAGACACTTGATACTTCCTAGCTGTGTGACCCTGGGCAAGTCACTTAACCCCAAATGCCTCGCAAAAAGCAAATAAATAAATAAATGCTTATCCCCTTCCCTTTTAGAAACTGACAGTTTTAGAAAATATGCTTCAGATTAGATGAAATGAATTCCTGTGAATCTATAGGGTTCCCATGAATCTTCCAAATTACCATGTATGTAGTTATCTGTTTAAATGTTGTAACAGAGTGTAAGCGCCCTGAGGGCAGGGGCTATTTTGTTTTTGTTTTGTCTTTTTATCTCTAGCACCCAGTATAGTACCTTGCATATAGCAGGTACTTAATACACACTTGCCGGATTAGATTGAAATTTATTACATTTTTGTTTTGTGATTTGGTTCTGAGCTAAAATACAAGCTGAGGCATCGAATAGTAATTCAATGTGATTATATTGTCTGTCAACAAAAATTCATTTTTTTATCCCCAGTATTAAAAGGAAACTACATAATGACTGGGTCATGAAGATTAAGTATATCCAGCCCCTGAACTGCTTTGGGTCTTGCTCTTTAGACAGCATCCATTCATTTGTTCTGGAATCCTTGAAAAGGCTTGAAGACAACATGTAAGTAAAATTAAACACATATGTGTGCTTTGGTGAGTCAGACCGCTCCTCTCAGTGATAAACTGTGGTAGATTTGAAGCTTTCCAATTAGTTTTCATAGAGATCAAGGTCCTTCTGTTTTATTTTAAAAATAAGGTTAATTTAAAAGGAAAAAAAAAGAAAAAGAAAATTGAAGTTAAGCATACAAAGCCGACCAGGACTTGGCCCCTTGTTTGCACTTCTGTTTATTTATGCTGAAGTGCCAAGGTCTGTTCCAGTGTGGCCTGCCTTATATACATTTATATACAGCCACACACACACACACACAATATCTTGTATGTATATATATATATATATATGTGATTGCTATGTATATATATAATGTTACAATATACATTTATATATAGCCATACACACACACACAATAT